AGAAGGCGAGGATAAAATATTGGATGCCATTAGAGGAGAATTCAATAAACTAAAAATACAACATCCTACATTATTCCAAGGTATTTCATATATACTTATCGATCTCTCTACATATTTTACAAATTCATGATAGTTTCTCGTGCCCAATGTCTTTTTATTTACCACGGTTGGTGTCATCAAATCGTCAAAACTGTTTTCTTCCAAGAGACGAAGTCAAAACTTTTGACAATGAGATGGCTCAAACATTGGTAAATAAGAGGACATCATTTTACCACAAAATATATTCTACAATTAAATAACAATCCCAGAAGGAAAACGATATTTCGCCCAGAGTATGTATTTTCATTTATCACGGCTCTCGGACTATCAGAAATCGAGAAAATTTACAATTGTAGTAACAATAAGTTTAGTTCTCATATCTTTCCTCATTTATGGGAAGAGGTCGAGGATAAGATAAGATCAACAGGCAACAACAGTTTATAGAACACCTTAAGGTATAAGCTTTTTTTAGTTTTTAATTAATTATATAACTTATTTTATAGTAGTTATAGTTGTGAAGGCCACAAGTTTATTAGCATTGCTATTACGTGCTACCCTTGTGTATGTCACATGGTGAATCACAGGATCCTTTGAAAATGGTCGCGTGAGTCTGGTCAATCAGTATTCCATCTATCGTTTTTCTCAGCTGCTCTAGCTCTAACCATTTACGATTCTTTTTCTGGAGTCAGCCACCCCTTTGTAACGTTGTGGATTCTGCAGTGTCCAAATGTTGCTAGTTTCAATTTTATCTTGATTGCAGTCCATATCGATCCATAACTCTTACCACAGCCTTTTACTTACAACGAAAAAGTTATAATCTCTCTAGATTTACTCCCTATTTGTTGTGATTGTGACATTATAATTATGCTAACCTTATATATTTTTGAAGCAAGCAATCAATGTCTATATCAACTTATGGTGAAGTTATCTCTATCTGAACCTGAACTCTAACGCTAACTCCATGATTTTTCAATGAATATGGTACATTGAACAAAATAATACTTGTTTATTGGTCGAGATGAATACAATTAGCATTAATTGAACTCCTTATAAATTTTGTTTAATTTCAATGAATGTACTATAAACAAAACATCGCACAATTCCTTGTACAATTCATAATTAATAGGCACTCGTAATGTTTTGAAAGTTTTCAAAATGCATTCTCCCTCGGGCTCGTGCATTTACGAAGAACTTTCAAAAACACTACTCGTGACTATTGATTATAAATGGTACTCAAGGTCGTGCGCCGATTTCCTATACAAACACGTATCGAATACTATGCAAATTAAATGTTTGGTTGTTTCTTTCTTCAGACTATCAACCGAAGCCCTTCTGTACTTTGCCTCAGAAGCCATCCCACGACGTTGTCCACCGTCTTGAAGAAGTATCCATGACACTTGACGAGATACGTCGACTCAGAACTGCGTTCCCGAATCATGTCACAGTAACATATTTATCAGGAAATCCTGGCTGTGGAAAAAGCGAGCTTGCAAGACAGATTGGAGAAAAATACTTCGATGAATTTGAAAAAGACGAGTCGTCCAAATTCGTGGCTACATTAAATGCATCGAGTCTTGAGAGTCTGATTCAGTCGTACATGGAACTGGCATTCCAGCTTCAATGCAACGACATATCCCTAATCATGTCATCAGAAAAGAATTCTCAAGAACAGAAACTTGCTCAGTTGCAAGCGCTCGTAGTTCCAAAGTTTCAGAAATATTCCTCATGGCTGATAATTGTTGACAACGTTGAAGATATTAAAATGGTTTGCAAATTTATACCGCACTCAGGTCAAAAGCTGCTGCATCATGGACAAAGACATATCCTGATCACTACTCAAGACATCGAGTCTATACCAACAAGCGATTCGCATGCACACCAAATTCAGCTTAAAAATGGTATGAAATTACATGACGCAGCTCAGACCCTGTATGAAATATCTGGATTGCCATGCGACGAAGAAATCGCAAATAAATTATGCGAAAAACTAGACTTTCAACCTCTAGCGCTTGCCTGTGCAGCAGTGTACATCAGACAAACACGCTGCGCTGATCCAAGCATGAACTGGGAAAGTTATCTTGAAAAAGTGGAGAAAGGAAATCTGATGTCGGCTGATGAGCTTTACGAGAAAACAAATCACCCCTACCAGAGATCTATGAAGACTGCTATTAAGATGGCAGTTGAAAAGATTTTAGAAAAAAGTGAGGTGTTACAGCATGCATTTGAATTTATGGCGGCTGTTGCTCCAGAGTTCATATCACTAGAACACGTTATCAGCTATGTACGTCAGTGCATGCCTAATATGGAAAAAGAGAATGTAGCTATAGCCATTACCTCATCCGCCCTCATCATTACTTCCGAAGGCAGCTCTAAACGACAGTCTGTTCGCGTTCACCAAGTTGTCTATCATGTTCTTCAATCCGTCTATGAAGTAACATTCCTGCAGCCAGTCGATGAATTTTCATTTTTCATGAAACTCGTCAACGTATTTTCTTACATCAGTGACATTGGCGCAGATATAATGAAGTTCTTTCAAGAAACAGCTCCTCTAATTGTGCACTTTGTCTTTTTGTCGGAAAAGGTGAAAGATTATTTTGAAAGGAATCAAATTTTAAAGGTGCTAAATGAAGCAAAGCTTTATGGAGTACATTATCAGTGTAATAAACTATTTACCCATCAATNCTTTCGACGGGTCCAAGTCACTTCCTCAAAGCGCAACCTACATCAAATCATTAAAGTCTTCAACAAGAGCCCATTCCTACAGAACAAGGTAAAGTAGGACAATTTCAATTGAAATTCAGTTTTATAACCGTTATGTTTATGTGCAGTACAAAATTCGTTCACGATATGTTTTTCCTGTTGACGTTTTTGAGTCTCCACTTATCAGTACAGAAGAACGATCTCGGTTTACAAGCCTCACTGAAATTTAGTCGGTGGTTGGAAGCGTTGAAGTGAAGAAAACGTTTTCAAGCTTTTTATTGATTAAAAATGATTTTGATTATCGTTTGATATCTTAGAAATGTTTCTGTTTCCTGTATTGGTGTCCCTAAGTGATGCAAATCTTTAAAATTGATTGCTTTCCCTTTACTAGAAGCACCACCAAACTATATAGTTTTTGTGCATGTACCAGATAGATTCATTGTTGCTTACACTTTTTTCGCTTACCAATTAATACGATACAACACACAATTTCTCAAATCAAGATGATTTTCAAGTACTGTCGAAAATTTTCCGTAAGCGATGGAATCACTGAAGAAGAACAAGAAGTCAAGTAAACAACGAATGTAGAACCGAATATGCATTAAATAGTTAACAGCATAAAGTTTAATAATTACAATGTTTCATTTTAACTTCGCAAGAAAGCGTAAATGCAGTTTCATTATTGTTTAGTGCAATAGCCTTATGATAGGATTGAATTTTTTTCCGGAGAAAAAGCCAATATTAATTAATGGAATTCAATTTATGAAAATATGCCAGTAATTTTGTTATCACGGCTGGCTACCATTTTATTCGCTTGACTTTTCATCAACCGAGTTAAAAAAGTATAACTTTTCAGATAGTTCCGTGTCTTCATTTGGTACTTCTGTATTTACAAATTTACAAAAGATAAATAAGAAAAAAAATAATTGTGAATCGTAATGTTTTTTTCAACTTGGGAATGTTCATAAAGCGATGGAATCACAGAAGAAGAACAAGAAGTCAAGTCACTATATATAACAACGGATATATTGTAAACACTGGCAATTGACAAAAGTGATAGATTGCTTCACTTTAACTTCTTATACTAAACAGCAAATAGAGGGGATAAGGCTTTGAAAACGTTTTTGTAACAGTGTTTTTCCATATTTACTTATCCTATAGCGACGCCAATATCAGACAGTATAGAAAATATGGCAGCGATGTAGCTCTGTAATTGTTGCAAAGCAGTCTTGCTATGTCATCTTGTGAGCTGAAGGAAAGCCATTGAGTCCCTTTGGAAAACAAATAAAGTATAGTCGACGAAAAGCCTCGTAAAGATCAATTATGCCTTAGCTTAGATGAACAAAACGTTTGGAAACTTTTGCAAAAAGGTAAAAGAGTTCTTAGATCATATTTCATCTGTTGCTATCAGTAGCCATAACCTCAATACACACTTGCTAGTGTTCCAGTTTTTATGAGTTTTCGTAACAGAATCAGCTCAGTAAGATTGTTTATTTTTGTTTGTTGTTTTTATTTTCTAGCTAAGACGCCATACTTGTTAGTATCAGATTTCACCTTTGAAGCAATTCAAGATGAGGAGAATATCAGCGAGTGTCGTCGAAGACAATTGAAGCGTTGACCATGATTACATAAAAGGTAAGATAAATTAAAACAGACGGTAGACTGACGTTGTGCTGTATTTTGAAGTGAGAAAATAACAATAACTTCTTCTCTGTCTTTCTGTAGACTAATGGCCACTAGTAGCACATTGCCATCGACTTTATCAAGCCGTCAAAAGACCAATTACTCTAGAATATGCAGACTACTAACGGACATTGGGACAAAAGTGTTGAGAGACGTTTTAGATTCCTTACACCCACCTGCTAGTCTACAGAAACATCTCAACTCATCCGCTGTTAACTCTATACTGAAAAATCTCAGAAAKAAAAGAGTGGTTAACGCGCAACAATGGCAAAGATTATACCCACCATCAGGAGTACCATTATCGACTACCTTCGACATAACACTGCTCTTCCTTCTCTTAAGGAATACCTGTGGTCTGACTCCACCTACTACAGGATGGGATGCTGCACCACCTCCAGCTGATGTTAGCAAAGAGGCTGATCTAATTCGAGTAAAACGATGCCGAAATGAAATCACTGGTCATAGCACAGCCGCAGAACTCTCTGATGCTGATTTTGGAAACCACTGGGCTGAAATTGAGGCAGCAATGATAAGACTTGGAGGATTGCAGTATGAACCAGAAATCCAGCGTCTGAAAATCGAGTCAATTGACCCTGAAAGTGAAGCCTATTTGAATGTTCTTATTCAGTCATGGGAAGAAGGCGAGGATAAAATATTGGATGCCATTAGAGGAGAATTCGATAAACTAAAAATACAACATCCTACATTATTCCAAGGTATTTCATATATACTTATCGATCTCTATACATATTTTACAAATTCATGATAGGTTCTCGTGGTCAATGTCTTTTTATTTACCACGGTTGGTGTCATCAAATCGGCGTCAAAATTGTTTCCTTCCACGAGACGAAGTCAAAACTTTTGACAATGAGATGGCACAAACCTTGGTCAAAAAAGATAGCAATTAGATAGCAATCCCAGAAGAAAAATAATATTTCGACCATGTTATGTATTTTCATTTATCACGGCTCTATCTCAATCAGTAATCGAGAAAATTTACAATTGTAGTAAAAACAATTTTAGTTTTAATACACCTCCTCATTCATGGGAAGAGGGCGAGAATAAGATCAACAGTGTTGGGAATCAAAATTTACAATTAATAATTACCAATTTAGTCAATGATTATTCATTAGGTATTACACATTAGTTAAGTAAACATAGATTGATTTAAGTTGACAAGTTCAACCAAGGTCAGTGTCGTAATAAGTAAACACGTATGACCAGTCAAATGAGTACATTTTGTAATAATTGTGAAATAGCTAGTTTAACATACGATGATTGTAAAACGAGAGTTAGTTGAATAAAGGTGTTCAGGGGAACAAGTCTACTTTGCTCGTGGTTGAACCGGCACGCAGAAACGCGGTCTGCATACATGGTCCTTCGAGCCGGATGAGCGGATAGGAATATATATACGAGCAGAAATCAAGAGAAAAGATGACAGATCTTGTAAAAAAGAAAAAGTCTAGRGCAGGACACCGACAACATGCAAGAAAGCTTKTTGGTAAAGCACATGACATCTTAGAAGAAGARGGCGCCGAGGACTACGAGCTACAGGATCTGAAGGCGAGCCTAAAGGAGAAATTCGACAAAATTAGAGCACTCGACGAGGGCATACTCCTACATATGGAAAGCGACGAAGGCGTCGACGAAGATGGAATAGCACAGGAAATTGAAGAGAGCGGAGAATTCTGTACGGCGATCAGAAAGGCGATCCTACGAATAGACTCTAGGCTTCGAGCTAGTGCTGGAGCTAATGAAAATGGTACACCGTCCAAGGTCGCTCAACCGGAACATCGACAAGTACAGGCAAAGCTACCTAAATTAGAAGTGAAAAGGTTTGGAGGAAARGTCTGSGAGTTCCAGGAGTTCTGGGACTCGTTYGAAAGCTCCATTCACAGCAACAAAGGACTTTCCGATGTGGATAAGTTCTCGTATTTAAGAGGTCTACTGGAGGAGCAAGCAAAGGCTGCTGTCGCGGGGTTTTCCCTAACAGGAGCAAATTATCAAGCGGCCGTRTCGTTGTTGAAGAGACGCTTCGGGAAAAAGACTGCGGTACAACGAGCCCACATGGCCGAACTAATGAAGACCAGTGCCGTGTACAGCGAGAGAGATACCGCTAGACTAAGAACCTTCTGTGACCACGTGGAAACTCACTATCGAGGACTTGAAGCCCTTGGAGTCTCAGAGGACACGTACTCGAGCATCGTGGTTCCTTCCTTACTTGAAAAACTTCCCGAAACGCTGAGGTTGACGATGACGAGAGGAGAGGCATTCACCGAATGGACTGTAGGAGATCTGATGGAGAAACTGCGAGGAGAAGTTGAGCTGCGCGAGGAACATCATCTTCAAGGTCCAAAGGGAACACCGGAGAGAAGTCCACCRAGGGTCTCAAGTGGGAGTGCGTTAGTCACGAACAGCCACAAGAGTAGATGTGCGTTTTGCCTTGGAGATCACGCACCGGAGGCATGCAAGAAGTTCACAGAACCGGAAAAGCGTAAGCAAGTAGCTAGGAAATATTCTAGATGTTTTATCTGTTTGAATAAGGGACACATGGCTAGTAAATGTAGAGATAAAAACAAATGTAAAGCATGTAACGGCGACCATCATGTCGCAATATGTAACTCTAGTGGGCCTAGGGGGGATGCATCCACGCAGGGGGGTGGTGTAGAAAGTACTGTAGGAATGTTGGTAAAGGCCGGGACAAAAGTTGCTTTACAAACAGCTCAGGGGTTGTTGTTAGGACAAGAGGGTAAAACCCAAAGGGTCAGGGTTATATTTGATTCGTGTAGTCATAGGTCTTTCATTACGGAAAGGGCAGCTAAGTCAAATATTGTGAAAATTGTCCGCAAAGAGTGGTTGAATTTGAGTAYTTTCGGGGGTACTACTAAGAGTAGTGGTTTWGTTGATGTCGCAATCGTCAATGTTCGTCCCGTGGGGGGTGGTACGTCAATTTATTTTGAGTGTTGCGTAGTACCGGAGATAACACGCGTGGGCAATGTACWTGTAGAGGTAGTTAAGCGTGACTTCCCGCATTTAAAGGGTTTGTTTTTCTCGGACGTGGATAAGAACAGGGATAGCCTCCAAGTTGATTTATTGGTTGGGGCGGATTACCTATGGAATTTTCAAGAGGGACGTATAATACGGGGGGAGAGAGATGAACCTGTGGCAATAGAGACCAAGTTGGGTTGGGTGTTATCGGGACCGCTCAAGGGAGNAGATTGCTACGACAAAGCACTGGCAATTCAAAAAAGCACTTACGGCAGCAATCACCCTATGTTAGTTAAAACATTATATAATTTAGAATCGCTGTTAAAGGAACAAGGAAAAGCGGATAAAGCCAGAACGTTTCGCGAATGAACCTTGGCAATCATCAAAAGGGACAGAACTTAGCATTGAAAACAATTAAGATTAAACGCACTTTTGTGCATAACAATGTAAATATGATTCGTGCATGTCGAATGCGATACTATCAAAACGGACTTTRAAACATAACTTTTTTTATAATAGTCAAAATGGTGGAAACTAGCAGTAATCTAGTGKGGGCTGTGTCGTTGTTCCTAAAATATTCGAAATATACCCGGCCGGCCTGTTGTAAGAGAAACGCTTTGTAAGTTTACGCTCTAACTACGCTTAGTTTGCGTAGCTCATTTCATCGATATTGTTTAGGCTGCTCACGAAGGTTTCTGTTGTCAATAGAATTGTTCAAAATGATAGTGGCCGTGGGCTACTGACTTCCTTATATTCACTGGTCCGGGTTGTTCAAAGCTCAATTGGAGCTAATTCTGGGCTAACTCTTCAAGTAAAAAACCTAAAGATTTAACCCCCGGCCTGGGTTAACGCTAATCTTATATTCAACAAGTCGGCCCAGAACGACAATCTCAAGTTGGTTCAAAAACACATATAATTTTTACCAACATTTTTCAACAATTYACAATGAATAAACATCTTATACAATATACAATGTTAGCGAGAAAGTGCGATGTTCTGTTCATCGGCGTAGCAGAGTAGTAGGGTAGTGGCGTAGTAGCGTAGTGGTGTAGTGGCGTAGCAGCGTAGTAGCGTAGTAGCGTAGTGGCGTAGTAGGGTAGTAGCGCAGCAGAGTAGTAGAGTAGTAGCGCAGCAGAGTAGTAGGGTATTTGCGTAGTGGCGTAGTAGAGTAGTAGCGTAGTGCCGTAGTGGAGTAGTGGCGTAGTAGCATAGTGGCGTATTGGCGTAGTGGCGTAGTGGCGTAGTAGCATAGTGGCGTAGTAGAATAGTAGCATAGTGCCGTAGTAGCATAGTGGCGTATACCCTGGGAACCAGAGGCTGGATTTACTCGTTCTTGTGGTTTATATACGGCGCGAAGCGCCGTCCTTGAGVCCGAAGGMCGAACCGTAAACCASCCTCTGGCGGCACGGATAGCGAATCTCACTTCCATGTCAGTGTTTACATTCAAGATCTGAATGTTGCAGCTGATTGGTTCGTTGATATTAGAGCGATATTATTGGTTGAAAATCAAAACCGGTTTTCAATCAGATACTCGACGAAGATTCTTCGATAAAGTTCTTTCACATTAGATAATTCTTTGTCCTATAAGGTTTAGACTTTCGAGTTTTTTTAACTTCCGAGTGAAGGTGAGAMATGTAGCTGCTCGCTATAAATTCAAAAGCAAATATTTTCTCTAAAACGATCTTTTCTCCAGATGAATTGCAAGTCCCCTGTCTACAAATTCGAGAGGCTGCAGCTACACACTTTGCAGATTCGTAAAGACTTGCTTTAACGACATCTTCTGGGGATTTTGCTTAGTTTACATTCTGTGAGAATTCTGATACACGACGGAGATCAGTGACCCGTAACATTTTACANGAAAGCTCCATTCACAGCAACAAAGGACTTTCCGATGTGGATAAGTTCTCGTATTTAAGAGGTCTACTGGAGGAGCAAGCAAAGGCTGCTGTCGCGGGGTTTTCCCTAACAGGAGCAAATTATCAAGCGGCCGTRTCGTTGTTGAAGAGACGCTTCGGGAAAAAGACTGCGGTACAACGAGCCCACATGGCCGAACTAATGAAGACCAGTGCCGTGTACAGCGAGAGAGATACCGCTAGACTAAGAACCTTCTGTGACCACGTGGAAACTCACTATCGAGGACTTGAAGCCCTTGGAGTCTCAGAGGACACGTACTCGAGCATCGTGGTTCCTTCCTTACTTGAAAAACTTCCCGAAACGCTGAGGTTGACGATGACGAGAGGAGAGGCATTCACCGAATGGACTGTAGGAGATCTGATGGAGAAACTGCGAGGAGAAGTTGAGCTGCGCGAGGAACATCATCTTCAAGGTCCAAAGGGAACACCGGAGAGAAGTCCACCRAGGGTCTCAAGTGGGAGTGCGTTAGTCACGAACAGCCACAAGAGTAGATGTGCGTTTTGCCTTGGAGATCACGCACCGGAGGCATGCAAGAAGTTCACAGAACCGGAAAAGCGTAAGCAAGTAGCTAGGAAATATTCTAGATGTTTTATCTGTTTGAATAAGGGACACATGGCTAGTAAATGTAGAGATAAAAACAAATGTAAAGCATGTAACGGCGACCATCATGTCGCAATATGTAACTCTAGTGGGCCTAGGGGGGATGCATCCACGCAGGGGGGTGGTGTAGAAAGTACTGTAGGAATGTTGGTAAAGGCCGGGACAAAAGTTGCTTTACAAACAGCTCAGGGGTTGTTGTTAGGACAAGAGGGTAAAACCCAAAGGGTCAGGGTTATATTTGATTCGTGTAGTCATAGGTCTTTCATTACGGAAAGGGCAGCTAAGTCAAATATTGTGAAAATTGTCCGCAAAGAGTGGTTGAATTTGAGTAYTTTCGGGGGTACTACTAAGAGTAGTGGTTTWGTTGATGTCGCAATCGTCAATGTTCGTCCCGTGGGGGGTGGTACGTCAATTTATTTTGAGTGTTGCGTAGTACCGGAGATAACACGCGTGGGCAATGTACWTGTAGAGGTAGTTAAGCGTGACTTCCCGCATTTAAAGGGTTTGTTTTTCTCGGACGTGGATAAGAACAGGGATAGCCTCCAAGTTGATTTATTGGTTGGGGCGGATTACCTATGGAATTTTCAAGAGGGACGTATAATACGGGGGGAGAGAGATGAACCTGTGGCAATAGAGACCAAGTTGGGTTGGGTGTTATCGGGACCGCTCAAGGGAGRATGCAGTGTGAATGATGTACAGCCTGTGAATGCAGTTGTGAATGCAGTTGTGACCGACAGTGGTAAGACAGACTCCATAGAGAAGGAGATACGTAAGCTATGGGACTTAGACAGTGTAGGAGTAAGAGAATTAGACGAGGTTCATGAGGAATTTAGTGACAATATAGCGTTTAATGGTTCGAGGTATTCTGTTAGGTTACCATGGAAAGTTAGTCACGCAACGCTTCCATCTAATTACGAGGTTAKTCATTCGCGTATGAAAGGWCAACTAAGGAAACTAGGCAAAGAGCCAGAGCTGTTGACAGAATATGACAGAATAATTAAGGAACAGGAAGAATTAGGCATTATAGAGAAAGTTCCAGCGTTAGATACAGCAGACAATGTCCACTATTTACCACATCAGGCAGTASTTAGAAAGGACGCTGTAACAACAAAGGTAAGAGTCGTTTACGATGCTTCGSCTAAAGAAGGTAAACATGGAGTGTCACTTAATGATTGTTTGCATGTTGGACCGTCACTTAATCCCTTGTTATTTGACATTTTATTAAGGTTTAGAGAAAACAGAGTAGCATTGGTAGGAGACATAGAGAAAGCTTTCCTTAATGTAGAAGTAGACGAGAGAGAGATAGGGATTACTTGAGGTTTTTGTGGGTAGACAATATTAACGATAGTGAGACAGAGGTTAATGTTTACAGGTTTTGTCGCGTAGTTTTTGGTCTAAACGCTTCTCCATTCTTGTTGAATGCAACGATCAGGCACCACTTGGCTACATATGAAGGTTTGTATCCAGAGTTCGTGACGAAAATGACTAACGGGTTTTATGTAGATGACCTTGTCTCAGGGGGTAGTAGGACCGGGRAAGTGTACGAATTGTACAATAATGCAAGGTCAAGAATGGCAGAGGGARGATTTAAGCTGCGAAAATGGCTTACAAATGACAGAGACCTCAGAGAGAAAATACAAGAGATAGAATCGAATGTAAAGAATGAAGGTAATTCCGGGGATTCGACAGGTGAGACTGATGAGAGTTATGCAAAGGCCACGCTAGGGACGCATGATGTGAGTAAAAGGTCGCAGAAAGTCTTAGGTGTGTCGTGGAATTRTGAGAAAGACATGCTTCATCTGGACTTAGAGCAAGTCGCAGCGAAAGCGAGTGAGAAAATGCCGACAAAGCGCAGTGTTCTGAGCATAATCTCTAGTATATTTGATCCACTTGGGATAGTCAGCCCATTGACGGTAAGTATGAAGATGCTTCTACAAGAGCTGTGTGCGAACGGAGTAGATTGGGACCAAACGTTACCAGCAGACCTGAAGTCGAAATGGGAAAGGTRGGTGGCTGAGTTAGTTAAGGTCAGGGAATTGTCTATTGAGAGATGCGTGTACAGTCATCCTGAGCAGAGCGTGACAAAATGCTGGTTGCATGGGTTCGGAGACGCGAGTAAGAAAGCTTATTGCGCAGTTKTTTATTTAGTATATCAGCTTAAGGACGGGTCACGCCATGCTAGATTACTGACAAGCAAGACTAGAGTAGCGCCACTCAAGCAGCTAACCATCCCAAGGTTAGAGTTGATGTCTGMTGTAATACTTTCACAACTAATGCAAACCGTGAAGGAAGCACTAAGTTCACAGGTAAAGATCGACGAGCTAATTTACTGGCTGGACAGCAAGACGGTTCTATGTTGGATAAGGAACAAAGGAGAATGGAAGCAGTTCGTGCGACACAGAATCAATTCCATTCTAGAACGTACAAACAAGGAAAGCTGGAGGCATTGTCCAGGGACAGAGAATCCTGCTGACATCGGGTCTAGAGGTGCTAATGCTTCGACACTGAAGAATGATGAATTGTGGTGGASRGGTCCACAGTGGCTATGCAGGCCTGAGAGAGAATGGCCAGCAGTGCACGAAGGAATGGAGCAGACTGTAGAGTGTCTTCACGAGGCCAAGAAATCAGAWGTAAACAGTTTGTTAATTAACGGGGTCATAGAGCAGAGCGTTGAGCATATTGTAGACATAAACAGATGTAGTACTTATAGGAAGTTAGTACGCGTGACAGCTTGGGTAGTACGGTTCGTAAACAATCTTCGGAGCAAGGTSAGCGGCGGAGATAAAGTGAGTGGCGAGCTGAGTGCTAAAGAGGTCATCGAAGCGCAAGGTAGATGGGTAAAKGTAGCACAGCAAGCACTTAAGAGACAGGATAATTTCAGTGAATTAAGAGTTSAGTTAGGGCTGATAGAGCGTGAGGGCGTTTTAAGGTGTCAGGGTAGACTGGTTAATTCAGACTTAGACTTTGAGRCTAGGACACCATTAGTACTTCCAAAGGACCACAGGCTGGCAGAGCTTATCGTTAAAGACAGTCACCAGAGAGTAAACCATAGTGGCGTGAAAGCAACTTTAGCGGAAGTGAGAGCAAAGTACTGGATCCCACGAGGCAGACAGGTGGTAAAGAAGATATTGAGTACGTGTGATTTGCAAAAAGAACATGGGTAGACCATACAATCCACCGCCAACGTCCGCATTACCAGACTTCAGAGTGAGAGAATCGCCGCCATTCTCAAAGGTAGGTATAGACTTTGCTGGTCCACTCTACGCAAAGGKGAAAACGGGCACAGACAAGGTATATATTGCACTGTTTTCATGCTGCGTTACAAGGGCGATTCACTTAGAATTAGTAGAGGATTTGTCAGCTGAAGCATTCCGTAGATGTTTGAGGAAGTTTACCGCAAGGAGAGGGGTACCAAGTTTGATAGTCAGTGATAATGCTAAGACATTTCAAGC